TAAAGTTCTCCTTTTTAATTTATTTGGTGCATTTTAAAAGTGTTTATTTAAAGGTTAATTTATTTCTGCTTTTATTTCTAATTATGTCAGTGTCGGCCCTCCATACTGCAGAACATGAAGAGGTAGTTCAGTGACTGAATCGGGTGTGTTGGAGCAGGGAAACATGTAAAACATGTAGGGCTGCGGCCCTTGAGGACCATGATTGCCCACCCCTGCTCTAAGGGGTAGCTGTTCTGGGTTGTGATGTAAACGTGTGGCTGTTAGTCCAGTCTGGAGCTGCTGCTCAGAAAGTCTTGTCACAGTTCTGATGGAGCCGCCTCCAAAACTAATGAATCCAACTGATTCCAGGTTCTGGAGCTGAACAGCCTCGGCCGTCTCCTCTCCTACCATCCTCAGACAGGAAGTGTGACGGTGCTGCTGGACTCTCTCTACATGCCTAACGGCGTGGCCCTGTCCCCCGACGAGAGCTTCCTGCTGCTGGCTGAGACCAGCCTGGCCCGCATCCTGAGGTCCAAACAGCCAGACCGTTGAGCATCGTGCTTCTGAGGGCTAAACCTCAAACAGCAGAGGATTTCAGGTCACGACTGTGTGGTGATTAATAGTGTTTTTGTTCAGGTACTGGCTGAAGGGCCCGAAGGCCGGCACCAAGGAGGTGGTCCTGGACAACATGATCGGTTACCCTGACAACATCCGCCTCAGCGACCACGGGACGTTCCTGGTTGGCATCACGACGCCTCCCTTCCTGGACCTGACGGCTCCGTACCCGGCTGTCAAACGCTTCCTGGTCAAGGTCTGTTTTCTCCATCAAACCACCATCTTTAAGGGCTTTTTTCAGATGATGTGGAAAACTGGATTTAGTTGAAAGTTATTTTTTTTATATAAAAAATAAATGAAAAAGTTCAAAGTGATTTGTAAAGATTGTTCAGGGAAATTTCCCTCGACGGGTAAAATCAGATCTTTGCTCTGGTTTCAGATGAAACTATCAGGTTGATGTTGTGTGTGTAGGTTCTTCCTCTGAGCTGGTTCAACGCCCTGCTGCCATATTATGGTCTGGTTCTGGAGCTGGGACTGGACGGGGACATCGTGGGGACCCTTCACGACCCTGAGGGACGCCTAACATGGGCCATCAGTGACGTCTTCCAGCACCGAGGCAGAACCTACCTGGGCAACACAGACCTGCTGTTCCTGCCTGTCCTGGACARCTGAGGGACAGAAACGCGACTTTTTTTTTAACGTTTTCTTTGACAAACGAATCCCGGAGGAGAAGTAACCAGAACTGACAATGTTTATTTAATGTGGAAACAGGACATCATTTTAGTTCCTGAAGAATAGTTTTATTTTGAAATGTTGTGGAAAAGCTGAGCTCAGATTAACAGGTAATGTTTTAAAATGACTGCAGACGTGTCCAAATATTGTTTTTATGCTTTTAAAAGGAAACATTGCAGTTTTTTTTGTCCAAACTAACATGAAAGTTCTCCAGGACACTTTCCTGCAGCTTTCTCTGCTCCAACAGGATTCCTCTGCTTTACACAAAATGAGTCTTAACAGTTTACTTGTAAACATTTAAACTGGTGACAAGATGTGAACATGTGGTGTCACTTAAACCTTTATTAGAACAAATACATAAAGTTAAATAACAGTTCAGACAGATTTCAAAGTGCAGCAGTGAATTAAAACAAAAATGATCAGTTTAAGAGGTGGTTCTTGATATGCATTATGGGCAACAAGTTTTACTTCTTTTAGGGAATTGTTTTGAAGTGGGGTTCATGTCTGATCTCTGAACTACCTCAGTTTGGTCAAAGTTTGTTTTTGTAAGAACACATGCAGGTTGTTTGCTTAAACTAATGCATGAAGGATTACTGAGAGCTACACACAAAAACACCTCAGTCATGTTTGTTTCAGTAGTTCTCAGCCCCTGCAGACTCAGTGATGGCTTCATTTAACAAGACATTTGCCTCTGTAATACATTGTGCTCTGAGGTACTATTGTTTTCTGTTAGACAGGAAACCMCTTCTATTATGGACAACCTTCATATTTTTCCATCTTCGTTCAAACAAAATACATTTTAGCACAGACTTTAAATTTGACTGTTTTTACTTGGAGATGCATTTGTGTCTCTTATATGTTTGGACTTTATCTTGTGCATTTCTACCTCATTATGCAAATAAGGTGGGCTTCTCCTCTCCTCTTGGGCAACAGACAGGAAGGAGCACATCAGTTGTGTTGCCTCAGTTTAGCGTAAGGTTCAGTTTGTAACTCAACAGGAAAGAGCTTGTGCAGAGGAGCAGCCCACCTTATTTGCATAATGAGGTAGAAATGCATACAGTCAAATAACAGTACAATTTAAATTCTGTGCTAAAACATCTCTTGGAACTAAACTGGAAAAATGAAAGTTTTGCTTTTGTCAGCCCTATCCCTTTTTTAAAAAGAAGTTGCATACTGAGACTTAAAGAGTGAAACTTGGGCTACGTTCACACTGCAGGCAAATCCGACCCAAATCCGATTTTTTTGACCCGTCTGACTCATATCCGATTTTTTTTTTGACAGTCTGAACGCGACAAATCCGATTTTTTTTTGACAGTCTGAACGCGACAAATCCGATTTTTTT